AATTAGTATGGCTGTGTGTTTGATGAAGTGATGAGGCTTCTTTTCGATTCATGTAGGATGCTACCTGCTCGTCCACTACCAGTGGACGTTTTGGCCCTCGACAAGGGCGCCTAACCAAAAGGTGCCCAACTGCGGGCTGTCAAAAATCATCCGCGCACACTGCGCAACATCTCGACCGTCTTTTTCGATTCGGTGCCCTCCCCTCATGAGTACGTTTTGCACGTTCATGGTCCCCCTTGTAATCCCCTCGCACGCCTGCATACGTACGCATTGGCTCTATCCCATCCAAGGCCTAGCGGGCCCGCTCGCCCCGCGTCAGGATGCACACCGCGTGCGATGATACTATTGTGCCAAAGTGCCCACGGCACCCCTCTGCCCCCCCTACTGTTGGGCTGAAACCGACGACGCCTCACTTCACCTCCCAGCTGTCTCCAAGTCTGCGCGGCTTCCTGAGTCGGCGCTGGATCTCCGCGTGCCAGGGGCGGCAGGCGCCGCCAGGTGTGGCACGCATCCGTCCAAGGCGGAACCGAGCTGGGAGAAGGGGACATGATCAGGCCGCAATTCATGGCGAGGAGGCAGAGATGGTGGTCCTGCGCCGAGCACAGCAGTCTGTGATTCTTCAATTGGTTGTTCTTCTGGGGAGGGTCGGACAGGGGGGGACATAGGCTCGCTCAACGGTGGAATTGGCCAGTACAGCTCTCTCAGGGTATTTTTGTTGGTTCCTGTTCAGGACAAAAATATTGGCGGCGGGTCTATGGTCAGGAACTCTGGCTTAGCGTGTCGCGGCGGTTACCCCTGCGACGCGCTATGCCTTGAGAGCGCATAATTAGCGTGCCGCTCAAATCCGCGGGGGCGGGAGGCCAGGAAGAACTTGGGACGTTGACGCGTGGGGACTGCGAAGTGGATACCGTGTCGCGCCGCAGCGTGAGTAGGCCAGAACCGGCGGAACGACACGCTATCCAAAGTTCCAGACCGCACTAAGTACGAACGAGCAACAAAAGGGTGGTGGTTCCACGCTGAGCGGGCCTGGGCCTACCGATCTGCCCGGACCCTGGGGGCCGGAGGGAGGACGAATCGCCAAGACGCTGGGCCAGCAGCGAGGCCGCGTGCGCCCGAGCCGCGCGCCTTGGAGGGGTCGCTCGGAACGGCCTTCTTAACAGCGTCGCCGATGTCCTTGAACCCGAAGCCTCCTCCGGCGGCTCCTCCCGCGGTGGGATTCCCGCCCCCCCCCTTCTCCTCCTCAGACTCCCTCCCCCCGCGTCTTCCCGTTCCTCCTCCTCCTCCTCCTCCTCCTCCTCCTCCTCCTCCTCCTCCTCCTCCTCCTCCTCCCCCTCCAGCTCCCCTGTCCTCCATCACTCCCCTGTCCTCCATCACTCCTGCCTCGCACCTCTTATGACCATGTCCTCCCCCTTCTCCCCCTCCTACACATCCTCCCCCTCCCTTCCATCTCCTCCTCCTCCTCCTCCTCCTCCTCCTCCTCCTCCTCCTCTTCCTCTTCCTCCTCCTCTCCTTCTGGGCCGTTCCCCTCGGGGTCGCAGCTTCGCGGGGCAGCCCCCGAGTGCTCCCCGAGGCAGACCGGGGACCGGCAGTGCCCAGAGAAGGCCAGCCCTCGCGGCGTACGGTCAAGAATTGTTGTTTCGCGCGTCGCGGCGGCGGCCCTGGCGATCCGCTACGCCTTGCGAAGTAACAGCGCGTCGCTCCGCTCCGCGGGGGCGGGAGGCTGTGAAAAACTCGGGACGTTGACGCGCGGGGACTGGGAGGTGGATAACGTGTCGCACCGCGGCGCGGTGGAGCGGAACCAGCAAAACGACGCGCTAAGCCAAAATTCCCGACCAGACGCCCCCATAAACACCGACAATCTATCCCCCGCGCCGTGCTCAGCTCGGCGCGTGGCTACTCTAGCGGGCAGCACTCCCAATCGCGGCGCGAAGCTCGCGCGGGCGCCGCGCCCCCTCGCGCCGCCGCGGCGCGAAACGCGCGCAGGCAGCGCGCGCGCGCGCGCTCCATCGCACATCGATACCGAATCGATCGCCTGCGATCGCGGCGAGCGACGACCCCGTCCCCTCCGCCCCCTCCCCCCCGTCCCCTGTCCAGCAAGTGCGTCGGCGCTTTGGGGGTGCAGAACGACCTCGGGGTGACCAAACCCCCCGAATGGAGCGCCTGCGCGAAGACGGCGAAACCCTGACGTGATCCGCCAGGACAGCCATTCGCCCCATCGCTGGTCTGGCCCCTCGCTTCCGCGCCCCAGCGATGTTCTGGAACCGACATTTTTACGCGGCTGCGCACTGCTGCGCCCAGCGCCACGCGTCCATGAGGGACCCGCGCCACGCGGCCGGGCCCACGCTCACCTCTTCCACATGGAATCCCCTCTCCCGAGCGAGCGCATCTTCGCCGAGCCACCTGGCAACGCGCGAACGGGCGACGCGGAAAAAGAACGCCTCGGCGCGCGCCCGGCTCGCCGTGGGATCCCGTCAGAGCAGTTGGCTTCCGAATCCACCCA